ATAATAATAATAATAATAATAATAATAATAATAATTGTAAAAATGCATAACCTGAATCTGTTTTTATACTCGGTGCGTCCATCCAGTAAAAGTGGCTTCACAGATGCATGAGGTGAACTGAAATGATTGTTTTGGATAAAACTGGGGCTGCTGAAGAAGGACCTGACTGCTGAACCCAGGATTGTCTTAAATATGTTTAAATATGAAATCTTATCTACTTTTCTTAAGACTCTCATTTCCTACTCTGCGTGCAGTGTTACGGTGACTGTTTTGAGTTTGAGTTCATGTTTCCTTTTGGTTTTGGAAGTGATTTATCTTTGAGGGCTTTGGTTGTAGTTATCATTTTGTGCCTCTCTTGTGGCCTTGCATATAGAATTCAGAACTGCAGGAAACCATTCCATCCTTTCCACCGGAGGTAGTCTGTAATAAAAACCCACTCTGTGGGCACGAGCGTGGTTGGAGTTTGGTTCCAGACTATGGAGATAAAGGATTGTCAATCTCATCTTAATATCGCTTTGCATAGAGACTGCCTCCTGACAAGGACAGGCACAGAACAGTGGAGACATGTCCTCTAAAGTGGTGCAGCTTGGTTCGGTTAGGCTTGATTCTGCTGTGGTCTGTAGTAATAATACAAACAACTAAACAATCAGTACAGCAAGCAAGCGACATATATTCTATACACAAACATAATCCTAGAACTAAGATTACAGAACAGGACTGTATTCAGCAATCAAATGCATCAGTAACGTAAACAATCACCTCACAGGAGGGTTAGAACTAGCATAAATTAGCTTAGTAGCATGAATGGTGCCTTAGCATAAGATTAGTGTATACACAAGTGAACAAATACATGTGCTAATATTTAATCTACATGACATCATCAGAACTCACCTTCTGGCATTCACACAGAGCAGTTAACCAAGGAAATACAGCTATCCAGTAAAAAGGGCAAAAGATGTGTGCTATCAGCAGCTGTAATGGGAGAAGGTACTAGGGCACTCCAAATAATGCTGTAATTTGGGGGTTTTGGTTGTTTTAGGAACAGCAGCTTGAAAATGCCCTCTGGCACAGGCCCTATCCAGATCAGTCAAACTTGGCATGATGGGAGCAGACCCCAACTGACTGCTGACATGCTCACTCAGGCACCAATCAGACGCTTAATTGTCAGCACTTGGGATACCAGCAGCTCAAAACAAGTCAAGTCACTTAAGTCAGGTGGCTTGTCATTTCAGCCATGTGCAGTGGTACAGTACACTGTGAAGCGAGACAACGTTCCTCAAAGACCACGGTGCTAACAGGCAATCAACACAGGAATACATAAAGTGCAAGTGTGCAAAAATTGCAACAGAAACAAAACAAAGACGGTGCAACACCAGACAGAACAGAACAATGCAAGCAAATGCAACAATGGGCTGTGCAAAAAGTAATTTGATGTACGAAGGGGTGTATGAGAGGACGTAAGTCCTCTGCTCAACCCATCGATGTATTTTCTTTAAGAATGTGGCAACATTTAAGGGGAAATGAATCTTACTGTTGGAAAGACTGTTTATTGCCAGGAAACGTGGTTGCAATGAATAATCAACCAAACACAGATTTCCTTACTATTTGTTAAAGTTCATTTAGTTTGTCATTTGTGTCGTGTACTTTTGGTTTTCGTCTGGATTGGAGTCAATTTGTCTTTTATTCTAGTTGATACCTGGTTTAGTGTTTGTGAAGTTGTTGCTTTAGAGCATAGGTGTCAAACTCTGGCCCGCGGGCCAAATTTGGCCTGCAGCCTAATTACATTTGGCCCGCGAAGCCATAACAAATTAGTATCAGAGCTGGCCTACTGGTATTATACAGCTAATATATATATTGTTTAGTATTAAGCTTTGCTTGTTCCACATTCAGTTTTTCAGCAAAACGTGTTTGAGTCCATAAGAAAAGATTCATTCTTATATCTGGAGGAATAAATATATTTAATAAATATTAACGTTAGCCCGCGACTTTGTTCCAGTTTTGAATTTTGGCCCACTGTGTGTTTGAGTTTGACACCCCTGCTTTAGATTAATTCTTTGTTTAGTTTAGAAGTCTTTATTTTTCTTTTCAAGTTTTATTGAATTCTTGTCGGAGTTTTCAGTATTTGCTAACTTTAGTTCCTGTAGACATTTAGTTTACTTTTTAGGTCAACACTAGTGTTATTTCTTGACGTGTGCTTGAACAAAATGTTAAACATCTATACCAAATTCATTTGGAACATTGATACATTAGAATTTGAGGATATGATTTGAGTTAATAATTGTCATTGTAGTTGATCACTGTGTGTTTTGTGTGTGTAGCTAGATGCCTTGGAGGAGGTGGTGAGGGCAGTGCAGGGTCGATGTGAAGTCTACATGGATGGAGGAGTGAGACGCGGGACAGACGTCCTAAAGGCCTTAGCTCTGGGAGCAAAGGCTGTTTTCATTGGTCGACCTGTGCTGTGGGGCCTTGCCTGCCAGGTGAAGCACTTCAGTAGCTTTTTTCCACCATCACATTTTTGGGCTCCAAAATAAAGATGGTTATTTATAAAAACATCATCTTGGTTTTCTATGTCTGCCCAGGGGGAACAAGGAGTTATTGAGCTTCTGGAGCTTCTGAAAGATGAACTGCGACTGGCTATGGCCCTGTCAGGTAACAAGAACACAGGAAATGTACTTTGCAGAAAAGTCACTTATAAACTATTTTTACAAACCCGTTGAATATAAACACAAATGTGGACAAAAAAAGCACATTGTGTATGTTAAAGTGAAGACTAGGGTTAAGGTTTGGTTTCAGAAAGCAGCAATTTATCTTAATTTGTTAAAAAGGAATTATATTGCATGTTGCCAAAGACAGCCTTACCTATCTGTTGTTAAAATGACTCCAAAAACAGATGAATTGTTCAAACTACATGCCAACAATGAACTGTTGTGGAATCAATCATTAGATGTTCTATGCTGCCAATGTCTATGACTAAATGCATAAACAAGGATGCAAGGATAAAAACAATCTTCAATAAACGGATTTAAAAGAAAAGACAACCCAGATTAGGCCCATCTTTACTATATCTGCCGTATGACAGACAGAGGAGGCCTGTGTATGCCAGGTCTGCTCAGGTCTCTGCTGCCTCCTGCTGGTTTTCACCCACAATATCCCAAAACAGTAGCATGGAGTTCCAGGTGAAGACTCAGAGGCTCTGTCTCTACGCCATGGATAAGATATTTGTCGACCTTCAGCCAAGTTCAAACATGAATATAAAGCTCTGATTGTTCTGATTGTGGAGCTCTGTGATCAGCATCTGTTGATGATGCAGCTCAAATAGATCCTTGTTTGTTATTAAGAAGCTTTAACATTTGTTTTATTATGTGGATCTGCTTTGCTAGTTTTACATTACATGTGCCTTTTTACTGCAATTGTTTTATATTAATTTCATTCATATGTAGTGATGGGGTTTTTTTCATTTCAGGATTTTGACACCATGTAATTTTCTAAACTGAAGAATCCACAAAAAACATAATGAAGTATTAAGTGAAACATTCCCACTGCCCAGTCCTTAAATACTTTAAAGCTCGGAGACTTTCTCTCAGTCAGCCTCAGAATATGACTTTGATTAGGGTGTTTTCTGCTGGGAATGAGAGATGTAAGAAGGAATATGAAAACAAACTGATTAGAAATGTATAATTAACAGAACTAAAACATTAAAGTCAAAGGCTGTGATATGTTGTTAAAAGTGGAGAAATTATTCTAGAATATTTGGTTCCTCCAATCTTGAAAACACAAGATGAAGTACGCTATTTTATTGTATCAATATATTTAACCTGATTGAGTCTTGTTACATTTACATCAGTTCAGATTTCAGACTTTGTCATCACTGGAGACTATTTGACAAACATGGTTTTGTGTGTTTGTGTCCAGGTTGTCGTTCAGTTTCTGAAGTAAGCAGGTCCCTGGTCAGGAGAATGGACTTCACCTCGAGGATGTGAGAGAACCGAAGAATACACGAATCATTTTTTTATGAATCACTAAATGAATTCTTGATGTCAAAACAAAACGCTGTTTCCTGTTAAAAGGTAATGTTTTTAAAGTGGTGCTTTTGACTAGAGTGTGTAAAAACTGATACAAAATACAGGGCCGTAAATCTTTGGACATACAGTCTCCCACAAGACGAGCCCTGGAGCTGATTGTGAGTAATGAACTTGTATTTGGTATCTTTTAACTGAAACGCTCAATATTGAGATTAAATCTAACTGTGAATTGTTAATATAAATATGTTGTTTAATTGAGAAAAACACATTCGAATCACATCACATCTAGCCCGTCAAAAACACTTAAGGATGAAGTTGTTTCGTTAGCAAAGTTGAAAATCAAGAGTTTTTATTTAGTTTTGACTTCAGATTTTCAATTTTATATCAGGTTTAATTAGTTTTTACCAGTTGTTTGCTAGTTTAGTTTTTATTTTTTTGAAAATCCTTAGTTTCAGTTTAGTTTTGATTAGTTTCAGTTATAGTTTTAGTTGTTTGCAATAATTAAGTGTAACAAAATCCCAGTTTCATCATATCAGTCATTCTCTTCTGCTTATCCTTGGGTATGTTGCTATTCCAGCTACCATACCCTGCACCCTGCACAGGTCGCCTGTCTGTCGCAGGGCTAACACGCAGAGACAGACAACTCACATTCCCACCTATGGGTTCTTTAAAAAATAAAAAATGAGGGCAGATGAACAACCATTGATAGCAGGCAACTGTAAAAGATATATCTTGGCCCCAATGAGACTATTAACTCTTGCAGCACCGGATGCATTGCTAAACTTTTTGAAGGCAACTGACTCACACAGTTGTGTAGATATCCCAGTCTCAATAAACATATTCACCAACGCTTCCTCTCGTTTGTGACAATATTTAAAATATGTCATATTCCGTAACACACCAGCTGATTTGTTAAAATGGGGAAACGAAGGAAAACAGAACTCCGTGAGCAGCACTTTGTGGAAACTGTATTTGCTTTTAAGCTACATCGGTGTTTGATATCAGTACAGGCTGACCAGGGCGACCAGACCCCAACAAACTAGCACAGAGTTTGTGTGGCGCAACAGTCCGGGGTTATCTTGTCAGACACATTATATTTAAATGAAACGTTTCCAAATCAAGTAATAATAATAATAACAGGAAGCTGAATTTTGTTCCCTATATGATTTCATGTATTAGTCATTATATACTCACACGCACGCACGCACACGCACACACACACACACACACACACACACACACACGCACACAGACACACACACACAACCACGCACGCACACGCACACACACACACACACACACACACACGCACACACACACACACACACACACACACACACACACACACACACAGTCACTTCACACTGCATTGAAATGGGAAAAAAATTCTCTACTTCCCACCATGTTGACTTGTGACTTTCTGGTAAGTGGTAGCTTTCAGCATAGCACTGGACTGCCGAACCTTCGCTTGACTGCAATGTTGCATCAGTTAAAAGCCAGCCATGTCCTGCAGAGCCAGTCAAAATGTGGAACATTGTCTCAAGATGTTGGAAAGAACGACAAGTAATAAAAATGCCAAGTTATTACCTTGTTATTACACAATTACCTTATTAATAAACTCCTATAGAGAGGTTGTTTCTCTTTTTTAAAATTACTACAGTATTTGAATGCAATCAGAGCTACCGCGTCACACTTTTTTTTCATGAACAGTTCACGAAACAGTGATGACAGTTTTGGCTGACGTGTTACGTAGCGAGGAATTTTGACCTGACGGCTTTGCACGTTGAAATGGTCTTTACGAACACTGACTGAAATAACAGGGTTGAACGTCCAATCGCGTGTAGTTTACAGAGTGTTTTCAGAGGTATGCTTACTTTTTTCAGCCTTTATCTCTCTGATTTTCTCTTTCATTCGTCTGCCTTTTTCTTTTGTTACAGGGTGTAAGTCCTCTTCCAGTTTGATCTGTGGGTGTTTTGAGATATTTTGAGACAATAAATAACATTAACCTCTGTTTTTTTTTTCTGTTCTGTTTTCCATCTTTCACTCTGCCTTGCTCTAGATGGCTAAAATCCTTATTTGTAGTCATAGTAAAAAAAACCACCATAAAAACAATCTGTTTCTTAGCAGGTCTTAAAATGAGGTAAATACAACCTCAGATGAACTACATATTACATACATATATCACATGTTATCATGTATAACACTGATATGATACACCATGTCATTATTTATTTTAAAAAGCTACGCCAAAATGCAATTTACAGTGTGTTGAAAACTGAGTTCATCTTTATTGCTTTAATAGGAATTTAGAAGATATGTTGCAGCCAGGTGTTCACAACAGCAGGTGTGCACACCGCTGTGAAAGCAGCTTTGTCAGCTTGCAGGTCTGAAAGCTGTTTGTTAAAACAATGCCAACTAGAAAAGACATCAACAATCATCTTTGAGAAGAAATGGTTGCTTCCCATCAATCTAGGAAAAGTTATGAGGCTATAATGAGGCCAAACAATTAGAAGCCCATCATTTTACAGAGAGACAGATGATTGTCAAGTGGAAAACATTCAGTGCAGTTGCTAATCTTCTCAGTAGTGAACAACCCAGCAAATATGCCCAAAGATCAAACTGTGCAATACTCAGGAAAACTGCACAAAACCCAAGAGCTACGTCTCAGACTTTTCAGGCCACTGCTAGCATGTTACATGCTAATGTTCATGACAGTACAATTAGAAAGGACCATCCACAGCAAGTCCACAGGACCTTTCCTTTGTGTACCAAAGTATTTTTGAATCAAACGTGAAGCCATCTGCCTGACAGATAAAGCTTGGCTCAAATTGGGTACACACAACCTCAGA